TATATATATATATATATATATATATCTAGAGTTCTTTTTTATAATATTTAATCTTGTAAAGATTAAATGTTAGGCTTCGCATGTTGTGTTAGTTGAACAAAAAGAGAAAAAAAGTCGATTGCTTCCTTAAATTAATAACCATAAGTAACATGTTAAATCCAATCAACAAAAAAAGAGGTTTCAACCCCAATTACCAGACTTTTATGGAACGACCGACCTCATTTCCTCCTCATGCTTCCCTTTTACAAGGTCGTAATAGTAGCAGGTGATGCTCTCCAAGGATGTCCCAAGGTTATCAAAGCACCCTTCTCTTTGACCACTTGCAAGAAGAAGCGTGCCTCGAGACCCCTGGCAAGCAAAAAAGATCATGAGCCGGATCACAAATTGATGACCAAGATTTGATTCATCTACGAAACAAACTATATATCAAGTGCAAGGATGAGATATCAACACAATTGTTCAGAATGAGCTAAATGGACTTGGAAGCAGAGAGAGCCAGTCAAAAAGTTATTCATGGCAGGAAAGGAGAGGGGGGAGGGGGAAATAACTAATTGCTTTCACTGAGCTGTACATATGTTTATTCCAACATCCCCACGTATTCACATGAAGGGAGGACTCTGCTAGATTTCAAATCTGAACATCCGAAACCCCCTGCTTTACAACGCATCTGTCGAGGACAGGACTACAAAAATTAATTCAAGAAAAAAGAAAAGAATTAGATGAGGATCTGTACATCCTTCGGATGGAAAAGCGATAAGCATTTTGCCGACGGTAGAGGTGCAATCCTCAATCGTCTGGTCGCTGGATCTCACCCATCAAGATGCGGTTGCTATGGACTTTGAAACCGAGAAGGGATGGATCGATCTGCCTGCCTTTTTTTCCCTTCTTTTTGGCAGCCTTGCCGAGTGAACCTACTTCTGGGTTCTCAGGTTCAGGCATCGGCTTTTTGGTGCTCTTCAGCATGTCACTGAATGAAAGTTCCATAACATCAGCATCGCTGCCCGAAGAAGTTCGACGAAATCTGGAGTCTTTCTTGTTGGAGATTGATGTCTCTGTAGATTGGGATGCAGGATTACCTGCAGAGTCTTCTTTTTAAAAAAAATAGAAATAATTATAAGTCAATCAATCTACAGCAAACAAGAACTAGTCTTCAGACAAAACCATAATCTGAAGACAATGTGAAAAAGGCAAAAGGTAAAAAAGGGGAAGAAAGAACAGCATACCCTCAGACGACCCAAAAGTAGTAGGTTTCTTTCCCTTTGGTGGTTGAGAAGCTATCATGTCTGGCAGTTCTGCGGATGATGTAGCATGAGGATCACGGGTATGTTCTAAGAACGAACTATTGGTTCCTTTCAAAACATCACCAGAACTGCAAAAAATGAAAAAGAGCAGAGCTTAAACAAAATTGAGAGAGCAAAAAAACAGTGTAAATTTAACAGTCTGCACAAAAATTCACGACATATACTACAAAAAAAGGATAACCAAGGACAAGCAAGGCTCTAAACATGATCATGCATCAATAATAGAAGGGAAAATGAGGTCATCAAACCAGCATTTTAGCAAAAAAATTTAAAAAAAGTAATATAAGAAAAAGAATCTCATGGATACAATTTAAGTTACAGGTGATCATGTATTCAATTAAAAAAAAAAGAACATGATTTTGTGGCAAATCAGTACACATTAATCTAATAAACAGTAAATACACTATCACCAACGGTAAATACTTAATCACATTGTGGATAACATCACCAAAATCAATTTGAAGAATAATTTTGTTTCAATTAGATTTTAAAAACACTTTCATAAACTTCTAAAAAATTTTATAGGTAAGAAATATTGCTAAATATTGAGAAATCAAATAACCAATTACATAGCCACCAAAAGTAACCAGACTTTAACAAAAATAATGAAATAAAAAATTATGTACTCGGACACTATCCAAACTATACTTGATGAAGACAAAAATAACATGTCGGACTACATAAATTATGTTCTTCACTTGAAGCAACGGATTAATTTCTGCTTTAACTGTAGAACTTTTGTGCTAGCCAGGCCAACCCCTGAAAGCTATAACCATGCAGCCATGCCAACAAGGTACTAACACCAAGCACCTTAACATGCCCATGATACACCCATAAAGATATATGATTGCACAGTAGCACATATGATTATAAGAATGCCAAATGCCATGTTAACTTCAGACATTTTCGAAGATGCACTAGAACTTAGTCAAATCTAATTGAAACTGGTACGTAGGGGAAATCACCATACTTGAATGACACTGGTCCATCAAACAAAAATGTACATGAAAATATAGCTATGGTCGAGAGAAAAGGTAGAAGTGATTAAGAAGCAAATCTAGCACTGAGAAGTAGTGCAACTCGTGCATTGCTGCAAACTCGATTAGTTTTGGAAGAAGAACACATAAACAGGTCTATGTCAGCCTGAAGAAGCCAAACCACAAGGGTTGACTTACGAAGATATCACCTCAGAAGGAAATGTAATAAACAAGTCCAAGCTCGAACAAAAATTGTCAAAGCATTAGAGGTCAGCTTATAGATAGTGCCATCCTCATTCCATTAAATGAAAAGAAAGGAAATAAACAAGCTCAAGCGAACCCAAAAGAGAAAACCAAGCAATAAATCCTTACTTCTGATATAATGCAGGCCAAATCATTTCTAGAGGAGGAAGAGAAGAAGCCAAGCCATAAGAGGTTGGCTTATAAGACAACAAGAACTAAGAAGATAAGCCATGAAGCTAACCTGTAGAAGATCAGTCCAAGGACAGTGCTAGACTGGTTTCATTTAGTAGAGCATCAATATTATGTCTACATACATACACTTGTATCCATATGTATGAGCACAAGTATATGTGTCTTCATTTATTCATACACATACATGTACATGCATAACACACAAAAATATATAGGTATTAGAATCTTGGCAGGATTGAGGCATCAATCCAACCAATCCAAAATTAGTTTTGGGCCTCCAGATCTAAAATCAGTTCCTACAGAAAATGCGATCCTCGAGGCTCAAGCTTTGAAATCAAGTATAAATTGCTCAAAGCTGAGGTAAATATGCTAGTAACAGAACTTTTTCAGAAGGTCTGAATCACCGAACAGCAAGCTCAAACTGGCAGCATCACTCTTTGACAAGACCAAGAACAGTATGTTACTGTAGTCCACATGTGTGCATGCATATGCACACACATAAATTAGCATAGATTACTAGAAATGATAAACAAGCCATTGAAATTTAAAACAAATTCAGGCACACTGACAATCAATTATAAATTACTCCATGTCCAGATGAAGAATATTTTGATGATAAATGGTTAATTAAAAAAGAAATCAAATACGAGGCACTTAGTTAAACAGAAAAATAAATCCAACATCAAATTCTAATTACTTTATAGAAAAGAAAGCCGTTCATCTCAGTAGTCATACATTTTAATAAATTGGATAGTAGCAGAGAATTTCTTACATGTTGCTACCAATCTCTTCAGGATGAACACTATCAAGTGTCATTTCATAATTAAAAAAGGTTAAACCTCCCCCTGCAGGAATTCAGATAATACTTTTAGGAATCACCAAAGAATACAAGCAGTTAACTCAGAAAGAGGAAAATTGTTTTGATCAAATTACCAGCCTTTCCAGATGAATCATGCCTAAAAGATTTGTCAATGTTAACCACTTCATGACCTCCACCTGCTGCTTGCTTAACCCCACTCTCCTGCATGTCCATAGCTAATCGAGTCCCGGAACTACCTCTTGGACCCAGTGACTTCCCTCTCGCCCCCTCCATCAGGTTGGAGATATCTAATCTTTTTAATGAAGAACCACCAGCAACAGAATTCACAAACTTTTCTTTTTCAATTATATCTATATCTGCCGGGAATTGTTTCTGTTCATATGATCTTGCAGAACCAGATCTCAAAGTTGATCTGCTGCTTTCAAAGTTACTAGCATCATCTTCCATATTTTTGTTTGATAGTTGCTCCTTTGTCGGCTGTCCTACATCAGCAAAAAATGAACTCTCTGAAAAAGAACTACTCAAACCTCCTCTCTCTGAGCTAAGATTAAAGGGATTTTCTGAACTAGGACGGGAATAGATCCAAGAATCCCTCAGCTCATAGGATGATGTAGGAGTACCAACTGCCAATCCTGTTGGCTGTTGAGATTGAAAATTTTCATGAAAGAGCAAGTCTCTCAATCCATGCTCTGAGCTTCCATCATTTCCAAGAGATGAGGCCCATGCATTTAGGTTCTCACCAGGAAGGCTCAGATTGGTGCTTCTTTGCTTTGCTGCTTCTATTTGCAACTGCTTCAGATGGGATTCCATCAAGTCAGATGATCGCTGCCTACTTGCCTCGGACCAGTGCCTCTCTCTTGCATCCAAGTGTGGAACAGCGAACTCCTCAGAAATACGAATCTGATGGGAACGAACACTAGAAGGAATTTGTCCTATCTGATTAAAAGCATGCAGCTGATCAAGATGTCCCTGAGCATCTAGCCCTTGAGCTCGTGCTACAGCATTTACAAGATCCAAGTTTGGAGCAGGAGCACCTACATGCATATGCATTGACCTATCAAGAGGATGTGGTCTTCGTTCATAAGGATCATGCGGCATTCTCTCATGTGACAAAAAATTCTGCTGAAGATGGCTGGGCTGCTCGAGTGATGAGAGTGCCTGCGCCTGCACAAGATCTAATTGGCTAAGTCTGGCAGCATAATTCTGGTGTGGACCAGCGGCAGTTCTGATGAACTGACCAGAATCATCAACGGACCAAACCCCCCCTACATGTCTCTCTTCTTCCATGCCAGACAGCTGCCTTGAGAGTTGTCGTGCTTGAAGCTGCTCCTGCTGAAGCTCTAAAAGAAACTTTTGTTCTAAAGTAGGAACCTGTCCCCGCTTGGAATGAGATAGAACATCCAACAGATCATTTTGATTTTGACGTTGGAAGTTCTGCAGAAAATTTGCTTCCAAAAATTGCTCGGATGCTGAGTCATGATGCAGTGAAAGGTTATGAGACTGTTGTTGGGACTCACTCAAGAGACGCTGCCTAAGAAGAACCTGGTCATACATATTCATCACATGAGAATCGATGTTTGATGCTCCAGAACCAGGTTCAAGTAATTGTCGATGCAGCAAATGTTCAAGATGAATCTGCTTCTGTAGTTGTTGCTGTCGTTGTGGTTCATGATGTTGAAGACGATGCAGTAATTGCATCTGATGCTCATGCAGTTGTTGGTGTCTCTGGTGCATTTGATGCTGCTGCTTCAACTGATCGAGATACCTCTGCTGCTCAAACTGAAATTTCAGGATCCGTTCTAGATCCTCCCTAGGTTGTTGATTAACAAGGTGATGCTGCTGCATTGGGTCACGCACCTGATCCAATAAAGTTCCAGCGAACTCGACATTTTGAGGGGACAATAAGCGTTGCTGCTGAAGTTGCTGCTTTTCCAATTGTTGTAAGAGCAGTTGCCGTTCTAAACTAAATTGGTTTGACTCAGCTTCAAACCGTGACAAGTTATTTGCATCAAAGTTATCATGAATTATGTTTGAACCCTTGCTCCTATAATTGTTGGCCCATGGTTCATTCATGATGGGGAAGTCACTTATTGAATTGAACTGTTCTGGATTGTGGCTAAACAGAAAGGCATTTCGAGCAGAATCATGATTGTCAATCAAATTCTCAGTGGAGCCTGGAACAGTTGATGAAAGGGGAAGCTTCCGGTGAGTTCCTTCTAGCTCAGACCACAACAATCCAAGAGAATTTAAGTCATTATCTCTAGGAATGTTATGACTGGCAAAACTACTATTTCCTGTTTCTGTCATCAAAAAATGATTACCACTGGTGGATCTTGATAGAGCAATGTTCTCATTAACAAGCTTTCCTGACCCCTTCTCCATGTCCCCCACAGGCCTACCCTTATACAATACAACTGCAAACACAAAAAATAACTCAGCAACTATAAATTCAATATAGGCATTAGGAAAAGGAAACCAAAACAAAATCAAACAGTTTTAATTAGACAAACCTTCTGTATCTTGACCAGTAAAATCATGGAAGATTTTTTCTTCAAGACCAGTTGTACCTAGTGGTGTTTCTGAATTGGAAAAAGATAACCAAGCTTTGTTAGGATCTACTGAAGCTTCACTCTCAACAACATTGTGTTTTACATGATGATCCAAAGTATCCCAAGATAGCAACCGTTGCTGATCATTTGTGGGAAAAGAATCGCTAAAACGGGAAGAGGGAACACAAGTCTCCAGGTTGCCCCTTGTAGTGTCCAAGGGTTCGGACTTGTTACCAGAAGGGAGATCCAGGACAATATGTTGCTCTAGCTTCAAGTGAGGCATAACTTCCCCAAGTGGCCGAAATGGTGTGCCCTCAGGAGCATCTGATAAGCACACAGGTAAATCTGTACTAAAGAAACCTTGTTCAAACCATGAGATAATGTCAACACCCAAAAATGGACCTTGTATATCTCCTTGTGGATCCTGGTAAAATAAACTCAACTCCTCAGGAAAGGTACCCTGTTCTGAAAGCTTTTTTTCAATTTTGTGATTTTCATGGTTGTTGGTGTTTGAGATCTCAACAAAAGAAGCATCATATAAAGGACATGATGCATCAGGTAGCTTAGCATTAACATCAAAGGAAACAGTTGAACCCTCTCCTAATTTGATATTCTTCGGAATATCCAAGTGACTTGTTTGGTCATCAACATTTGCCACTTCTATCTCACTAAGATTTATCTCAAAATTGGTAAGATTACCACCTAAAACTGGTTTATCGTGGATAACTTCATGATCTGCAACCTTTGGAGCCCGATCATCAGGACCCACTAAGTTAATCAGAAGGTTGATATTATCCTTACTTTCCAGCTCTGAAATGAAAAATCAACACAACTTTTAGTAATGAACAAGAAGAGTTAAAATAGAGCTTCTAATAAAATATGAAAAAACAGGTATTTCATTAACCTTTTAAAGTGGCAACGGATTCCATTTTATCATGTTTGTTATCAACTAGTGTCTTGCCACCATCATCTACATAAAAGATATACAAGATCAATAATTGTATTCAGATTAAATCAGTATTATGACAAGTTGCTCACCTATCTCCTCATTAACTCTTGTCATCCTTTCCCGATTTAAGCTCACTTCACTGCTTGTGACTTCCCCCTTCCAAATATCTTTCAGAACAACCTTTTAGACAACCATTTTTAAATTATATATAAGTCCACCATAAAGATTATCTCCAACAAAAGAAAAGAGACATTAACAATGCAATTTAATATCTAATACCATGAAGAACAATTGGAAATAAAATCTGTATGGAGCACATTTTCCAAACAAAATTAATGCTTGTGCAGGACATGACAATGCAGGCATGCTCTGTGCTCCTAGTGTTGGTTACATGACACTGAATAACTTCAGTAACTGTAGCATGCATCGTTTGCCACTGTTAGATCATAGTTCACAAGCCATCACTTCACAGTGTCTTTCTTCAAATCATTAATTACAGCATGCAAAAACAGGCAGATCTCAACAGATAAGCATATCCAAGTAATATATATGTGTATCAAAATCACCATCCAACATGCAAGAATGCCTAAGTTCTACTTCCCAAGATCAAACTATTTCCACAAAGTTCCAAATCAAACTACTTCCACACTAAATAAAACAAATAAATTTTTACTACATGAGTATCTAAGTCAGTTTTCATGTAATCTCTTCTATATGCACAATACAGAGGGCTGATCCTTAGATGCAAATGCCAATAGGGAATACAATGATGTAGTTGGTGATAACAATTCAGTTTACCTCTTCCTCTGCATCAGGTGTGACAAATGCCAAAGGAGCTATGGAGCTAGATACTGTTATTGGAGGAACTTCCTCAAAGCTCTCAGAGGTAAAATCAACGACTGGCATCTTTTGGTTCCTATAGATATCAAGAAGTTTTCCCCTAGGATACTGAAAGTTTGCTTTATTTACTGGCCATGCACCAATAGGGCCAGCAGCAGATGGCCTGCCAAATTGTAATCCTGAAACAGATTTTGATCTACCCCTACCAGAGGCAAAAGGCACAGGGGGGACCTCAACGCCCCCAAATCCCGGAGCAGCACGGAGCATTGAAGAGCCACCAGAATGAATTTCCTGGCGATGGCGAGGTCTCCATTTATCACGAGAATCAGATCCAGATACTGGACGGAGGCTAGCAAGAAAAAACTGCTTCTCAGAGTGAGAACCTTCTTTCTCAACATCCACTTTCCTTTCTGTCCAAGGTTCCTTCTCTTTGTCCTCAGGACCCCACCTAGATGACCACTTGCTATCGCGGCGGTTTTCATTTCCTGCACTACGATTAGGAACTTCATGCACCCTATCAGATGAAGATAAAGTCTTCAAATCAGCAGCTTCTCTCAAAGAGATATTGTCAGGATGGCGGTCATTTTTACGGTACTCAGTTTCTCGATCCCCTTCCTTTTTACGTTCTCTCCTACTGAGCAAGCTAGTTTCCCTCTCCTCTTCACGCCATCGGCGATTGCTTTCAAGATCAATGACGTTCCTTCTCCATTCTTTTTTCTCCTGTGGCCACATGTCTTTCTGAACAGAATCAGGCAAGGTTACAGATGGTGCAAAACTTGTGGGCCTAGTGTCCTGTCACAAATATGCACGAAGGTCAGAATGCTTAGAAAATATAACAAAATTTGGAGAATTTACAAACATTAATTAAATTGAATGCCAACACTATTCATGAGACATTTTATTACAAAGAGTTACATTTACAAGTCAAGGGTGTTGTAATCAAATATGGTAAAACACTACTAAGTAAAATTGTTTAGAACAACCATAATTGACATGTTACAATGGTCCTCTACAAGCCACTTAAGTATCCAACAATCCTTTCCAATTCATATGCATGTGCTAGAATCTAGATACAGTATTTGACATGGTTACAGAAAAATCATGAGTGATGCACAAACAAAACAAAGATAATAAATATTATGCATGGTGCACTATGTTACATTTTGCAATTTGTTGATAGCAACATGTGCTTTGGAATAATCACATGGCACATGATTAGAAGATGCAACCACATGGGAATCAACCATCCACTGGAAAGTAACTATGTTACCATAGTGCAATATCACTAATTTTTTAAGAGCATTGCGCCTTCTAAGATTGTACATAGGTTATTAAAGATTGAGTGAGTTGTCTTATCACAATCACCACTTAACTATTCTTAAGACAAGTATATCCAACTTTAAATGCTAGTCGACTATAAATTGGGCAACATATTTAAAGAACTCAATTAGTAGAACTTAACATCCACTAGCACAAGCAGAGTCCATTGACAAACATGGTAAAATGGAATAATTAATTGCATGGATAATGGTCCCCTTTTAATTCAAAGAATCATAAGTAAAAGATGATTCACACGTCTATTTCCTGCTTATGAATAATATTCCATCAACAATCTTTCATGGACAGAAGGAACCATATTTAATTTAATAACTGTTACAGCACCCAAAGAAAATGCAGTGTAATGGTTATCTCATAATCAGGAAATCAAAAGTTTCTCTAACTCCATTTTGTGGATATTTCATCAGAAGTTTGCCATCTCATGCTTAGTTCATAGTTGTAGAAAAAACTAAAATCTCCTACAGCAGTAAAGACTGCCAATAATTACCCGTACATCAAAGACTTTTTCAACTAAAAATAGATAAATTCCTATTACTCAAAAAACCACATGATAGTATGAACAATTATTACTAACAGAATGTAGCATCAAGCTACCCGCCTAAAAAAATTCCTGCTACCAAGTAGTTAAAGATTTTCAAAACCAATCAGTCATCAGATTGGACATACAAAGAGGATATGTTAACCAAGACCAAGAAATCTATGAAAAGTATTGCTGCAATTCTTAAAAAAATTCACCACCCAAAACATTGGGTACGTTTAGAAATACATTTGAAATGTGCATTGGGCCCACATTGAGGGCCCAATGCACATTACAAATGTGAATTAGTATTGAGTAATTTTTTTACAAATCGCATATAGTCTGAGTGTTGTATTTAAAATGCTCAAATGTTGATACTACCTCAGGGTAACATTAGTATTTCAACATTTGCGAGATTCTAATGTAATTTTTCAAATTCTGAAAGTACCCTTTGACTTTATCTAAAATTACAAGATTGGCAAAATGATTTAGTGAGAAACCAATATGATTTATATTTTCTATAAAGCAAATTTTTATTTATTTATTTTTAAAAAATATCTTATATTTATTTATATGATTATCTTTTTATATATTATTTATTTGGATCATACAAAATTTTTTTAAGATTACATACATTCATTTATTTATTTTTATTTGTTTACTTATTAATTTAAATAAAAATATATATTTACTTTTAAATAAATATTAAAAATATTAGAATGATAGATTTATCACAAAATATTCAATAGACTTTTGGAATACAATTTTATCAAACAACACTTACATCAATGCATATTTAAAATACAATTTTCATCTATTGTTTATCAAACACTTAAAACATTCCACAACTACACATTTACTCAAACCTCTTTTTTCAACTGCATATTAAAAATACAAATATGTTCTCAAATGCAGTCATTACCACTTGAGTGCTGAAGAGGACCCTTTCTACAAGGCTAATAATACAAGTCCCAAAAAAGCCACCACAACATATAGTACCATAGACAGGAATACCCAAGTCATAAGCTACCACAGGAGGCAAAATGGACTAAATCACCAACTGATTTTCCTTTGGCCAGTATTGTTTTTGCCACACTGCATCAGAACATTAATGAGCAAGAGTAGCACACACCTCCTTTTAGGCTTAATAGGATGTTTTTTCAGGCACAGTTTTAGGTTGGAGACCGCTTGTCATCCTTTTTTTCTCTAAACCATGTAACTATTAAAAAGGGAAATACCTAAGTCATAAGCTATACCACAGGAGGCAAAATGGACTAAACCACCAACTGATTTTCCTCTAGCCAGTATTTTTTTTGCCACACTGCATCGGAACATTAATGAGCAAGAACAGCACACACCTCTGTTAAGGCTTAATAGGATGGCTTTTTCAGGCACAGTTTTAGGTTGGAGACCGCTTGTCATCATATTTTTTCTAAACCATGTAACTATTAAAAAGGGAACTTAGGTGGTCACGGGCACTGAAATTTGTCAATATGATAAGAAAACTCAAAGAAATCTAGATATGGAATCAGGCAAACTAGTGTACACCAAATAGTAGGATAACTTAGCATTTATGGAATACGAAAGATGGACAGTAAGAAAATTTATATACTGTAAGACAATTGAAACGAGGACAAAGAATGACCCGTCACAAGTTTCACTGAAGGAGTCCCTTAAAGAGTACCCCATGGCATACAGAATTGCTGATGGACCTCTAAGAGCCATTGGCAGTTCCTGATGATTGTATTTATGACATAAGATCACCCAAAAACCAAACAAACAAGGAGTATTAGTCAAAGGCAGGGACAAGTACCCTATTATTACAGCAAGCCACCAACACGAACATGGACAGCACGTAGCATACACCAACTACCCTAATTGAAGGTATCAACCCCATAGCAAACAGAAACATTTCAAACATATTATAACAAGAAGCACTAGCAACTTAAGTGAAAACAAACTACAGAAAGGGACCAGAGACCGCATCGATTTGGAGTTATGCATATGTAATAAACAAATTAATCAAAGGAATCTCCCAAAAACACCGACTAACAAATATCAGGATTCGATGATACTGAAAAACTTCGTACATATTTGCCAATGGATAGCAACATAACAAACAGACAATTGTCAAAGCTCCAAAATCATGATACCAATATTGATAAAAGAGAGTGAACCAAACACGAAACAGAAGCAATGCAGATGGTGACAATCCAGTCCAAGAGTAGGGTGAGAAAGAAATATATCACTAGAAATAAAAGAACTATCATCCTCAATTTGAATATTTTTCTATAAAAAGCCCTTTAGCAGAAGAACTAGGGAGATTTCTTGGTCTTGGTTAACATATCCTCTTTGTATGTCCAATCTGATGACTGATTGGTTTTGAAAATACTTTTCATAGATTTCTTGGTCTTGGTTAACATCAGTCCAGCTAAAAAAAAGATTATATAAGGGTAAAGAACATAATACACCTAAGCATTAACATCCTCTAATGTGTGCAACGTTGAATTTTACTACACAAAAATAAACAAAAAAGAAGGAATCAAGTGATTGAAAGTAAACCACAAGGTAAATTTTGTGGCATTTAACTGACCGTATATCATAAAGTTCAAATTCTGCTGAAAACAACAAGCCTACATTATATCAACTTAAAAAATCCCACAAGGAAACAAAGTGAACAAAGCAAACACTAGTCCAGCAAAGAAAATGATTAAATAAGGGTAAAATATATGATAGAACTAATCATGACAATCGCTTAAATGGAATAAGACAATAAATGAGCATTATATGGGAAAAATGGAAAGTTAATACAACCAACACAGTAGAAATACCAACCTTGCTGTCACCAGGTTTTGCATAAAGCCATTGAGGAGACAAAGGTATATTATTTTCAGAAGTCGCTTGATCTACACAATGCAACATATATAAGTCATTATAATTATATCAACAAATTGGTGCACAAAAACAGAATTTCATACTAAAATTTTGATCCTTGTATGGGGAGGAAGGTGGCCATAAGAAGTAATAGTATATGATGGAAATAAAATTGTAATCACTTTTTTCAGAAAAGGAAAGCATAAGAACAACAGAAGCTTAGAATTCCAGTAACAAAGCACATTGCAACCTTATAATCCACACTATCTAGCAATTTATATGAAAAAGGCTGCAGAGCCAACTTGCAAACAGAAAGGACTCCTAATTTCTTGTGGCAGCTCGTACAGATAATCATGGAACTTTGTATCCTATAACATCAGACAAGTAAAGAAAACAGGCAATAAAGGCCATAATAGCATAGTCAATGCTAAAATTTGGCAAAAACTCCCGTACTCTGAAGATAAATGACAAATAATGCATGGAAAAACACAACCTTCACCTCATAAGAATAATTGCAAGATCCTAAGTATAATGAACTTAAATGAGTTCTGCCCAATCAGACAAATTCGAGTAATTCTTATAGCAAACTCTATAGTGTGCAGGCAGGAAACCAAGTACCCTCAAAACGGGAAGTTGCTCTTTCGCCACGACAAGACCAGATTGATGATAATTACAATAATTGGGAGGATAGAGCATCCACCATTAGCAGCACAAAACACCAAGATGCTAAAGCATACAGAGATACTCCAGTACCAAACTCACTATTAAAAGACAGACATAAATTTACCTTTTCCTTCGTCAAGGAACCCAATAGGATTCTTTTCCTTGCCATTTCCACCAGCAAGAGTATCTGATAAGAGAAAAAATCCATTCAATATACATAGATCCTTTTCTTAACAAAAACTACTGTATGATTCAGATTAACCAAGAAAATAAAAAACACGAAGAAAAGGTAACTCCAACTGCAAACAGTTGGAGATAACATCTCTAACATCAAACCCATTGTTGTTACTAAAAGCAGTTAACAGCATAGTACGGATTCATCAGGTCCTAGAAAAGTCAAAATAAACCATAATCGTTTAAGATTTTGCATAACTGCTTACTCCTGCAAGCAGATGTTTCTTTCCTTGTTTTCTTAAGAATATTTTTAGCAACAATAATTAACTCTTCGACCAATTTGATCATGAAAAGCTTATAGCTAATGATGAAATCAAAAAGACACGAGATCTGACAAGAAGAAAGAAAAACCCTAAAAGCCGCCTCCAAGATCCATCCGTCTAATGACCAAATAAGAATCCCAGAAAAACCAAACAAGCAAACGAAACATCGAGGTACCACCTTTCCCGGCCCAAGCCTCGCCCACCAGCCTCGAGGGGAGGAGGTCCTCCGGCAGATCCAAGTTGCCGCCAGCCATCTGCACCGCACCAGTTCACGCGGGACGCACAGATCGGGGGCCGCGGAGACCGAATTACGGTTTCCGGGGCGACAAAGCCGAAGAATCCGAGGGAATCGAGGGCGAAATGGGGGATTTGGAGGGCGAGGAAAGGGCGAGACGGATGGGGCCTGGGACGACTCGGGGAGGGGGATTAGGGTTAGGGTTTGCAGGAGAGCGGATTGAGATCGAGAGAGGAAAAGGGTTCGGGCAGGTGATCAGATGAGCGCAAGGGAGTGAATGATCGTCGAGAGAGAGAGAGAGGCAAAGAGCGAGCGAGAGCTGCGAAAGAGATGGAGATCGAAGGGAAAACCATATTATAATTTTGGGATCCCTGGCGACTCTTTTTCCCTTTTTTTTCTAATTAATAAAAATAAAATGAGCCAATCGAACCGGCATTGAACCGTGATTAGAGAATCGAACCGGCGTTGAACCGGAAATTTTATGGGATTATTGTGTTTCTGAGCCTTGTGCTTTAATAACTCGATTAAAAAATCAAAACTCATTTTAATTAGTATTTTTGAATTTTGTAAGCTTTTATAAAATTATGTAAGTAAGAATAATTATAGACATCATATGTAGACTATTTTTTTTTTATTCTTTGTTCCAAATAATCTCTCATCCTCGTTTTTATTTGTTTTTATCTTAATTTCTTTATCTTCTTTCTCTTTTTTGAATCCTAACTATTTTCTTTTAGGATTTATAAGTATATTAGGAATCCTAATTATTTTTAAATTACTATAATGAGTCCTAATTATATCCTAACTCCTCGGTAAATGAGGATTCTAATTAGATATTATGATTTATATTAGGGATTCAAATACGAAGAGTCCGAGAATTAAGATTTGTTCTTATAATTTTAAGATCTTAGTGAGAGGGATAAGATAGAGAAAGATATGTTATGTGTTCATGGATTTGGTGTTTAGAGAGAATACTTTTTACAAAATTATATCTTTGTATTTATTTTTCTTATACAGTAACGGATAATTCTTCATGCATACGATTTGTCGAATTATATTATATCTTATATCAATTTTTAATATATTTTTTATTTATTGATTTAAATATTTTCTTTTAGTTTTAATTGTGTACTCTCCATCCCAACCATAAAAGTGGTATCAAAGCTCGACATTTTAACATTTTTGATACAATGAAATTATATAAATAAATAAAAACTTATAAAAAGTAAATCTTCAAATCTTTTCTGTTTGACAATTATTAAAAAAATCTTAATTGATATAGACGTATTGGATTAAGCTATTTGTCACTCAAACGTTAATTCATATTGTTAATAATAAGCAACTCAAATTAGTCAAACACACACCATCTCAACCATTCAATTTCACTAATTAAGGTAAGCATGCTACTAAAATGTAAGGTTTTGAATACGGATCCATATCGACGTTTTAGTACATCCTAAAACTTTAAAAATATCTTTACATACTACGCTAGAACGTACCGATTGATATGCCTTTGTAATGATTGAAATCCTAAATGATACCGATCGATACGTCTTGGTATCGATCGATACATCTCAATACCAAGGTACTATCCAATAGAGAATGATCCACGTATCGATACCCCCTCGGATCGATACGTACCGTTCAGTACGAGCGGTACACATCAAATTGAAAAACCCACTAAAATATAAAAATTTATGGGAGAATATATTAAATTCCACAAAATAACAGGTGAATTGCATGCATTAAAGATGATTGGCATCGACTGTATTTCCTATAAAATATGGACTCACCCTACTGTAACAAATATTTTCTATCCTCTGTTCTCTGATTATTTTTTTATAATTCTCATTGTTCCCTACACGTGTCTTCTTGTAGATGAATACAAATAAGAACTAAAATTGAAACATGAAAGAAAACAAAAAAAATCTATTTTCATATAGTAATTTTTCAAATGTTCTTCTATTTATGATTTTTTATAATTTTCGAAATTAATTGATTTGATCCAATAAATCATAATGTGTTATTGTTAATGAATTGTTTGGATATACATCTAGGTTACATATTATTAGTTCAACATTAAATAATTTTAATTATTATTAAAATTATTAGTTCAACATATTATTAGTTCAACATTTTTACATTTTTGATACAATGAAAATATATATAAAAAAACTTATCAAAAGCAAATCTTCAAATCTTTTCCGTTCTACGATTATTAAAAAAATCCTAATTGATATAGACGTATTGGATTCAGCCATTTGTCACTCAAATGTTACTTCATATTGTTAATAATAAGCAACTCAAATTATTCACATATACACCATCTCAACCATTCAATTTCACTAATTAAGGTAAGTTTGTCTAAATTTCGAGAGTTTATACTTGTCCCATTGAGTTGGTAAATTTTGAGCATGGTACTAAAATGCAAGGTCTTGAATACCGGTCCATATCGGTGTACCGAGCAAAGCTCGATACGATATGTACTGGTATATACCGTCAGTACGTTAGGGCGTATCGATGGTACACCCTAAAACTTTAAAAATACTTTTACCTACTACATCAGAACATACTGATTGATATGCCTTAGTAACGATAGAAATCCGATATAGTACTGGTCGGTACAGTTTGATATCGATCGATACCATCCAGTAGAGGACGATCCACGTACCGATACCCTCTCGGATCGGTACGAACCGTCCGATACGAGCGGTAAACATCGAAATTAAGAATCCTGCTAAAATATTCATATTCACGGTAGAATATATTAGATTCCACAAAATAAGAGGAGAATGCATGTATAATCTTCGTACATCAATTTTGTTTTCTTTCATGTTTCAATTTTAGTTCTTATTTGTATTCATCAACAAGAAGACACGTGTAGGGAACAATGAGAATTATAAGAAAATAATCAGAGAACAGAGGATAGACAGTAACGGAAGCATCTGCCTTGACATCCTAAAGGAGCAGTGGAGTCCGACAACATCCAAGGTGAATGCACTTGATCATGCTTCTAATTTCCCAGTTCATTAATTTCTTTTAGTGCACTAAAGGACCAGTGGAGTCCTCCTGCTCTGACGATATCCAAGGTGAATGTTCTTGACAATATTTGGTGCGTTCAAGTATATTGTCAAGTACATTCATTCAGAGATGCCGAGGCACGTAGTTCCTCCATCTAAACTTCTATCAGGCTCAATTATGCCACCGATCTTGGCTGCCGATGGAGATTTATCGGTTCTGTATGCACAGGAAGAGGGAAGGCCTTGTGAGTATATGGACTTCCAAGTTGATATCGATGAGAAAAAGAGATCTATCGTGGCTGATAGGCTGATTGAAGTGCACCACAACTATGAACTACTGCCCGAGACTTTGTATCTCACGTTTCAGATACTCGATCGGTACCTATCGAAGGAGAGAGTGTTGGGGACGGAATTACTTCTCGTGGGAGTGAGCGCTCGGAAGGTACATATAAGCTGTCTTCTAACTCAGGTTCTTTTACTTCCTTTCCCTCTCATGATGAGCCGAGAAACTTGCATGCTGATCGTGCCTTGTGTTCGGAACGTAGACTACGGTGAAGTATCATATCATGTATATACCAAGGAGCAGATACTGGCCAAAGAGAAGGCAATCGCGAAGGCACTCGGATGGAACCTGTCTGTTCCCACGCAGTATGTATTTCTCGTGCGCTTCCTTGAAAGCAGCCATGTCCGATAAGGAGGTGCCCAGTCTCGTTCATGTCACTTCACTTTGTCTCCGATATTGTCGATCGATCTTTGTACTGACCTCGAGTGAACAACCCAGCGGGAGAACATGGCCTTCTTCTTTGCTGAGTGCCGATGACCGGCTTCAGAGTCTAGATTTTACTTCTGATGCTTACACGTTTAGTCCTAATCCGTCTCATACATGGAAACAGGAAATGTGCCCATCGATTGATGAGCTTTCATCCACCTGGAGCACTAAACTTGGAGCCGTCGCCTTGCATCCACCTGATACCAAACTGCAGAGGTCGAAGAAGGTCGCTCGATCGTGACCGGCGAAGAGATGGATCGAGAGGATTCAGATAGTTACTCGGTGATACCAAGTGTACATGTATGTTGTCATCGGTTGCTCACCGTCAAGCGAAGAGTGGCCGAGGACAGGAACAACTACGGCTTCTTCGATATCGGGACTGTAATAGCGGGCAGATGCAACGCATCGTCAATCGACAATTTATTGACTCTGTTTTTGTGCTGCTCAATAATAATAATAATAATAATAATAATATTATTATTATTATTATTATTATTGATTTCTACTGCTATTAAATTGTTTGAATATAATTTTATGTGACAGAATCATTGTATCGGATTTACATAATTTGAATTAAAATTAATATCCTTAAAATCGTTATTAAAATAATTAAAAAATATTAAATAATAGTAATAAATAATAATACTAATAATTATTATTATTATTCATCTCCTCGCGTCAGCTCGCTGGGTTAAAACTACCACAGCGTTGGAAGCGCGTGTGCTCACCGCTTCGTGCATATAAAAAGCGGCCACCATAGATAAAACCCGAGGCTTTAAGCAGAGAAGAAACGCGAAGAAGAGAGAAGGGCGAAACCCTCGATTCTTCTTCTGTTGCTTCATGTTCTTGTTCTTCTTCTTCTCTCATTCTCTTTCGGGGCGAGAAGCCTCTCCCCGAAGGCGAGAAGAGAGCTGACTGATGGCGCCAAGGCGTGCGGCACGTCCTCGTCGGCGGCGTCGTCGGCCTCCTCCTCCTCCTCCTCGTCCAGGTGAGTTTCGAATCAAAAACCCCTCGCATCCTCAGAACTCTTCGTTTCTTGGCTCTACTTTCTTTGCTCTTCTTCCTGTAATGCGACTCCTCCCCTGCCACGGGGACCTTGGTTGATGCGGGTTTTCATCCTTATCTCATTCAAGATCGCGTCCTTATTCCCTCGATTCGTCCACCCACTTCTCTAGGGTTTCTGAATCCTTGCGCTTATTGTCGTCTCGCTAGGTGCCACTGCTGGACAAATTCGCAAAGCGGCTGTTAGAGGAGGTGCAGCTAGAAAAAGAGGAGTCGACCTGAACGAAGGCGATCGATTGGTTGGCGGGTAACATTTTTGTTGAGATACTCTATTCCTTGATCAGCCAAGTCGAAATTAGGATTTTGAATCTGACTGTTGCTTCTTTCACTTTTGTGTTTCCTGTAAAGACGGGATCCTCTTGCGAACCCCATCCCATCGAGGAGATTCTCTGCTCGGCTTCTGGCGAAGAAACGACTCGCCGTATTCGTTGAGGTATGATATGATTCCAAGATCCCAGCCTCTCACTTGTGTTGCTTATCAGCTTCTTCATCTGATAGTGTTTCATTTAGACTAAACTCATTGACGCTTCATGTTGCTCAGCGTCCAGAGGTTGCTGCTGATTACATTGTCACGGAGAAAAAGGATGGCAGAGAATCCAGTAGTTTGCGTCGCGATTCCCCTGATGAGAAGGGAAATTCCATGATTGACTCAAGGAAGAAAACTGGAGCCCCTACCCTCGCTTCAGCTCTTACTGCTCAAAACAAGGTAGAGTTTTCATATTCTTCGCTGATAGTAATTTCTTCATCGGTGTTTTTTCTGTTGAATTCTGTATTTTGAGCTCCCGCAGAGGCTCCATGTCAACAGCCGTGGTTAATAAAAGCAACAATTGTGGCTTCATTAATGAGTGATTTTTTAGTACATAAATGTTCCATATGATCTACCTTTGTTTCTAGCACATTTTTTTAGTTATCTCTGTATGGTTGCTTTCTCATGTGCAGCATCAGGTTTGAGATTTAGCATCAACTATCAGTCAGGATTTAGTTTTCAATCCTATTGCTGTTAAACGTATTCCAATCAACTAAACGATGATAAAAATCTCTGACACTCTGTAGCTGATGAGAACACATTGAGTTCATCCAAACTTCGGTTTTTTGGTAACAAATAAACTTGCAGTTATTGTTATTCTCTGGCAATAATGGAAGAACAAGTTAGGCAGATGTGGACCATATCATCCCAGCACTTCCATTTATCCCTGTAGAGCACCATATTTATGGGACTGGATGAGGATGACAGATTGATGACATGAAATCAGTGGTCTGTAGCTTATAGTAATGAATGAATTAGAATAAAAAATTGTTACATTGGTTGGAGTTAAGCTGATCTTTTAAATTTTGAAATGTTAATACAGATTTAGATTCATCCAGGCACAATCTTGTTTTCGGATATCTAATAC